CAATGGTTATTAACGTAACACCTGATCCCCTCTAAAATTTTTGTTTCGCATTTTAAGGTAAGAAATCGACATTTGAAACCGACAGGGTGTCGATTTACTCGGTGAAGTGTTTCACAACTTGTTTATTTATATACGTATAGCGGATGATTTTTATTGAAAATTAGTATTTATTGATTTTCAGCCCCCAAGTGACTGTGCTTTTAGTTACCATTCTGTTGAACATTGAAACTCCTTACCATTAGATTTGAAGAGTTTCTAATATTCATTGTTTTCAAGCTAGCCTGTGTTATTTTATTCACAGTCCCTCTATGTGATAGAGGGACTGTGTTTTATTCAATAAAAATATACCACTGTGATCTATTCAAGTTCCTTTTATGTTTTGATACTTCCAATTTGTTATGTAAACTTTGTAATCATTGTCTGCTATTTTTATTGGGATGAGTAATTCGACCACTCAGTGTAAGTGCATAGTGTGTATTTTCAAACGCGCACTACAGAATTAGCATCCCAAACCATTCTCTGCCCACCATCATGATCACTGGAGTAGCATAATCCAAGGCAGTTGGCGGCGAGAGCTGATTCTTTTTGTAACAGTGCACGCAAAATCGTAATGGTAAATTGAAAATGTGTCAACTTTGACTTTTAACAACGTCAGTGTCATCCTCGTAACAGGTTTCTATTAATTAATAACTATATAATTAAGTAATAAATGTCAGAAATAATAATTTAATTGGATACTACGTTGTCATGGGAATATACCGGTCTTCGACACACACATTTTGAATCCACGCTGTTAATGGACATTATTAAAAAATCTGGAGTGCAAGATTTGGTTTTGTTTTAGTTTAATGATTTTGTCTCATTTAGTTACTGAATTATTTCGTTTCGATATTCCGTGTCTAAATATAATATCAGATTTAAATCACAAACACATATATGTCCATGAACGTTGAAAATGACAAAAATCCACATTCTTTATTGTTGTAGAAAAAAAATGACTTTATAACATTTAGAATAGCGCCTCGGTAGTCCCAGTTTCCCTGCGAAGCAGACAAAGGGGAGGAGGTAAGTGCCTCGGGTTTTATAATAAACCCATTAGTGGTTACAAGTATTGCTAGTTACAGGCGAATGATTTGTCATATGTCCGTACGTCAGCCATTTCTGAATTTTATTTCAAATACAAAGTTATGTGAAAATGACTTCATGTACGGATTATCAATAACTGTATATACTGTATCGAGGCTCTGAGAAGTGGAAATATAATAATCAACACATATACGTCTGCTTATTTACCATAATCGCGACTTTACGTCCATTACACCACGTATGTAACGAATTTATTATTACTCGTGTGACACGGAATATAGAGAATAAATTACGCGAATTCATGACAAGGGGTACAGTTGACAAGTCGACAAAGAATGAATGTGTTGGTTGATATAACAATCTATATACGTCATCGTCCCGGTTTAATGACTTTCATTACTGAGTAGCGAAATCCAATTGTTCAAACAGTTCTTGAAATAATTGCTACAAAAACGGACATAATTAGCATTATTCAAAACTCGATATGCTCCAGGCCATAATTATTGGTTGAAACTTTAATCTTAACCTTGCGTAATAAAAAATAGAGGCTAGCTTCAAACTTCTTAAATAATTTTATATTTTTAATCCATGCATTACTGAGCCAAAATGATGACAAGTATATACTACCAAATGAACATATGTGAGATATTATGTTAGATATCCATGCTTCGCATATGAATACATTA